ACTTTATACTGACAGTGTATAAGCGATTAACTTATTAAATATTATTCGTTTCAAAAAAGAAAACTAATATTTATTTTACATGAAAATTTGTTCATAAGTTAAATTATTCAAACATAAATATATACTTTTACCCATCTAATGATATATTATCACTTATTAAATAATATAGCATAAACAAATAAAAATATTTTTTTATTTTTTATTTTCATTATAAAACTGCATTAAGATTAAACTCTCATTGAACACATGTTCAATGATATAAGAATATTATCTCACTATTCGTTCAAGCTGAATGAACGACAATATATAAAGTGTGGACTTAAAAATGATCCTACTTGCTTTGGATTGCAAAATGACAACTTGTGGATTACTTCAACTTTAGAGAAGCTAGACAAAGGAAAATGGCCGTTTCGTAATCGCAGACAATGATTAAAGAAAAGATAAAGTTATTTTTTACCAGTAAAGAAAAGATGGAACTTTATATATTATTTAAAAAGGAGTTGTATTTTTATATTATTAAATTTACTCTTTTAAAAAAAAATTCACAGTTAAATTAATGATTTTATATATATAAACGTTATTATTATTATAACAAAATCCTCACATGCTCACATGTTATGTCTTGGGTATTGATATTTTATATCCTTGAGATAAGAAGTGAACGTGGTGTGCTTAGTTCAGAGGAGGGAACCTTCTCTAGCAAAAATATATAATTACCTAGTTAAACGGTCTTAAAATAAAGAAAGCTAAAATATATTTTTAATCTTTTAAAATATCTTAAAATTTGGTTTGGTTCTCATAAAATTTTAATATTTTTAGTTTTTATATATTAATAGAAACATAAATGTTTTTCATTTATGATGAGAGACTACAGCTACATTACTAATATAGGGACTAATAAAAATGCAATAAAATTTTTAAACAAGTTAAATCAAATTTTAAGGATTTAAAACAATTTGACAGTAAAAAAATATTTTACTCAATAAAGAATGAGTTAATCACCTATACACTGTCAGTGTAAAGTTTTTTTACACTAGCAACCAATTATGTCTTTTAATTGTGTCATGTCACTATAAACACATTTATTTTTAACAATAACATGACACAATTAAAAGATATAATTGATTGTCAGTGTAAAAAATTTTACACTAGCAGTGTATAAGTGATTAACTCATAAAGAATAAGGTTTTGTGGATACTCAGTCCTAATCTTCACCCTAAGAGAGAAAATTTAGAAGAGGAAATATAAAAGTTTGATAGGTAAAATTATAAGAAGAGAGAGATAAAGATAATGTTAGGTGATTTAGATGTTAGTGTAAATTATGATTTTGTTAAATACAATATGCTCTTGTTTGGTTTCATGTCAAACACACGTTTAAAATTAATTTATTGCGATTAAAACAATTAGAATCATATTTGTTGTAAGTTATATTATTAGTAAATTTGATTTTAAGATGTAAAAATTTACATTTAATTGAAAATAATTATTGATATTATCTATAAAAATATTATTATACCTTTAAAATTAATTTTCATAACAAGTTTTCAAACAACATTTAATAAAAATCAAGTTCATATTTCTTGTTATTTTAACAAAAATTATGTTACTTTTAACTTACATCTACTCAAAATCATGATCAACTTTGCAAAGTCACATTGATTCAAAATCAATTATATCGATGTATATCCAAATACATATTATGTATCAATGAACAAAGAAATAAGAAAAAAAAAACATAGGGAAATGTAATAAAAAAAATGCTTTTAATTTTTTAACTAGGACACCCCTTAACACATTTTAAAAGAAAAAAAAATATTTAATTGCATTTTTTTTGCCACCAATATCTTTCATATTTTCGCAAACCTTGTCATTCAACTTTCAAAATTTTTCAGATTATCACTTAACTTTTAAAATTTCATAGATTTTGTTATCATATTAATTAACTATTTAATATAATATATTAATTATTGATGTGATATGTTAATTATGAATGTATATCATTACTATATCATAAATATGTACTAGTGATCAACTCTATGTTACCTAAAGAATCATTGTACTATGTTGACTAATAACATCATATAGTTAACTAATAAAATAATAAAACTATGTAAAATTTTAAAACTTTGATAACAAAATATGCAATTTAAAGAGTTGGATGATAAAATTTAAATTAAAAAACATAAAATTTAAGTAAAAAAAATGCAGTTTTTTTAATAAAAAAAATCGATTGATGTTTGGGTCAAATGTGCTTTTCCACCCCGCTTCGAAATCGACCAACCTAAAGCAGATAAGTAATTTCGGAAAAGCAGATACTTTGAAACGCGCCAACGAATAATCAACTTAAAAATTTTGGTTTATGACAAGTTTATGGATGATGCTATTTGTCCTAAAACTTATAAATTTCTTTGACCATAAATAAACTTATTTAGTATAATAATTTATAATTTATTTTCATAATTTAATTAAAGTATATTATAATTTATAAATATATCCTTATTACTTGAAAATCTTTTTTTTTTAATTTAGAAGTTATTTTAATAAATATATTATTTTATATGTAACTCTGAGCAACTTGATCACAGAAAGCCATATAACAACGGGTGGTGTTAGCAAAGTATCCGTCCTTATATTTACTTCCAAGAGAAATATACACAGGCAGACTAATACTGCATCAGTGCTTATTTTATATGTAACTCTAGTGTGGCCGTTGTGTTGAAAGACGGCACTTTAAGCAATATTATACAAAGAAATCCATCTGACCAAATTCGATCAATTGATCAATCTGAAACCGACTTAATCAAAAATATTATGGTTAGAAATGAGGTTAATTTTGGATTTCTTAAACCCGATACCGACCGAACCCAAAGCTTATTCAGGATGTCCTTGACAACCTTATTTCTTCCTTCTGCATGTCAATTAAAGGACCATGTGATTAATTGAGACGTAAACTGAAATCGTCATAGAGAAGGCAATAGTTTTCCAAGAAAATCATTCATTCCCTTTCATTACAACAACTTCAATATTTTCTATAGTACCGTGGTTTAATTCACATTAATTATTTTACCGTCTCTTTTGTACTACCTATTAAATTTATTTAATACTACCGACCAAACATTACTCTATTTAGGGTTCTTTCCCTTTCTATTTCTTCAGCCGTTTAGGCTTATACTAATACAGTTAAAAAAAACAAAAAAATTGTAGCTAGTTTATTCATTGTTGGGCCTTCGTAATTAATTAAGCTTTTGTCCTGTTTTCTGCATGAAAGCATTCCTTAATTAGTTAAAACTACGGAAAAACATTAATGTTTAAAAATGAAAAAAAATTGCTTTTTTTTCCCTATAACTAATTAATTCGGACATGCGCATTATTTAAATTAATTAAAGTGAAACATTTCTCCATTTGGAAAACGAGAACGATGTTAGGATTTTTTTATAGGCAAGCGCACCCAAGTCTATGTAGTATGAATAAAAGGTTGTCGAACCTCAGGGAGTTGTGAGATAAACTTAGATTTCTATTATATTAACTGATGCTTCTGAATTGAAAACTGGAATAATTACACATATTCAAATTTGATATAGATGATTTTCCAAGTTCAAGAAATCATAGAGTAATTTGATTTAAAGAAAAACAGATATAAGAAACAGTTGGGATTTGATTTCATCAATCTCCCTCCTATGCATTCCTATTGATTCTTTCTAAAAATTCCATTACCCATTACCATTGAGTTCACTAAATTCATTCAAACCCAATCCCTTGGCATAAGAACTTCTAAGATATTTAACTAGACGAATGATCCCTCACTTCATTCAGTTTAATATCTTGCATTAAGAATCAGAACTTGATACAACTATTAAGTTCAAGACCATTCCTGGCTCTCAAAACTAATAGGTGATTCGTTCCAAGTCTGGGTTCAGAAAATGTTTTCCAACCAAATCCCAAACCCAAAATTAGAGATAAATGATCAGTTTATCAAAGCATTAAAAACAGGAACAAAATCACTAGCATAAAGTAATGGATGATATATATATTTGAATCAAAGAGAAATACATAGGAGTTTGATGATTACATCTATCCCAACCCTAGAGATTAACTCTCCATTTTACAAGAAAATCACCAAATTACAAGTTGAGAGGTAGAAGAAGAAGAAGATCCTTTGAAGATTCGCGTCCCCACGAGCTCCAGAGTACTCTGTTTCTATCCTCTCTCTGTTTTCTTTTTTTCGTACAGCTAGACACCTTATCTCTCTGTTTTTTTTCTTATATATTAAAACAGAGTGAACAAGAGAGAGACGAATCCGCTCAGCGCCTTGAAACGGCTGAGCGGATTGGGAGTTCTTCACCATGAAGAAACCTCAAGGGCTGAGCGCCTGAGATCCGTTGAGCGCTTTAGAGGCAGAGAGCACCCCTTGTTCCTGGATGAAATCCGCTGAGCGGATGGGAATGACTGAGCGGATTGGAGGCAGAGAGCACTCCTTCTCCTGGATGAAATCCGCTGAGCGCTTTGAAGTGGCTGAGCGCCTTCAGTTTGGGAAGTTCTCTGACCTGAATCCGCTGAGCGCTTTAGAATGGCTGAGCCATTCTTCTCCAGGTTTCAAAACCTACAAAATAAGCACCAAGTTGGATCAAAGGCTTCCTATTCCCTGTACTAACATTAATCAAAAGCACCTCTTTGATTCTAAGCATATATATATCAAAATAATATTAATATGTACACAAAATGTGCTAGATAAGTGTCTTAAGTGAGTATTAAATCAAACTAATTAGACACTTATCAAACGACTACAACATGGTCCATCCATGCACAACTGTTCAATTGTCGGAATCATATTTTTTTTAACTCTCTTTCTATATATGTTTAATTTTATCCAACCTCTTACAAACAATGATACATGAGGAGGAGAAAAAAAGTAACTGTTAAGATGGGGACAAAAGTATATGTAAAGCCGCATTTAAAAGAAGCTTTTGTGAGCAATTATTTTTGTAGAGGGAAACATACAATGGTACTGCATTTGAATATTCCTCCATTCTTGTCATTATAAAACGAAAGCAAAGCAAAGCATGGCTCCTAAGGAATCAAAATGGGACGACCCTTGTGGCGAGAGTGTCTCTCATCTGCGTTGAGAACAGCCCTAGCGTGCACCATAGTGGGGTGCGTCACCCTCTACGCTCCCTCCTCGCTCTGCAACCTCATAGCCTTCCCTGCATTCTCCTACGTCACAGCCATTATCATCATCATCAACGACGCCACCTTCGGACACGCCTTGCGAGCGTGCTGGCTCGCGCTCTACGCCACCCTTCAGGGCATTGGCCCCGCCCTCTTCGCCTTCTGCCTCCTCCCACCCAGCCGCTTCAACAAGTTGACCACCGCCGTGGCGGTGGCGCTCGCCGCGTTCGTGGTGGTTCTGCCTTCGCCTCGCTGCACGCACTTGATAGCTAAACGCATATCGTTGGGTCAGATAGTGCTCGTGTACGTTGTGGCGTATGATAATGGCGTTCACACTGATCCTATCATGCACCCTTTACGATTAGCGGCTAGCACTGCCTTAGGTGTTCTTGCTTGCGTTCTGGCCTTGATGCTTCCATACCCGCGTCTTGCATGCTACCAGGTAATCCATTAATCTTTCGTTCATGTCATTTTCTTTCACCAAACCTAATTGTGTTAGGCGTGACAAAAACACTCAACTCTATAGCTAAGTTATAGTTAAGAGTAATCTTCATCTTACAAAGTTGAGTTAGACTCAAAAATCATAATATGAGAACCAGGTTTAAGGCTGCAGCTACTGTGATGTTTTAACGTGGTTCACGACTTTTTCAAACGGACATTTTATGTGTTGCTAAAGCTTAATTTGTTTGAACTCTAAAAACCACGTCAACATCAACATGCATTTGTTTTCCGAGCAAAATATTGCACTAATTGCTGATATATATATTTGTCTCTTCAAGATGATTTCGGCTGTGCCATTACAATACTGACTTTTTGTTGACTGAGATATAACAGTCTTTGCGGCCACCTTTTCCGAGTGCATGTATACACTCCATATAGAAAGGAAAAGAAAGAATATAACATATTAAGGAGAAAAAAAAATATATATATATATATATATATATATATATACACATACCAATAATGCAAAAAAATTGCATTTTTATCTAATTATATACCGTTATGAATGATAAATTTACTGATTTTTATAACAATTATCTTAAAAATAATGTTAACAATTTTTTTTTATTGGGTGTGAAAACAAATTTTTATTAAACTCAAAAAAAAAAAAGGAAAACATAGCCTAATAAGAATATTAGAGTTATTGTTAATGAATTATTTTGATTTTTGAATTCCTTAAACACCATGCTAGGTATAGGAGGCTTACCGTTTACTGTAACTAGTATGACACAGAAAACTATTTTATTTACAAGCTTACTTTTTTGAAGATTAACGTTATCCTCCCCCCCC